GTTCACGTAGCAACGACCGAGGGAAGACGCAGAGGTCGCTTCCTGTATCGACCAGGAACTGAGTCTTCGAGATGCGGTCGGTTACGAATAGACGACCAGTTGAGTAGGGGCAATCGTCGGTCGACATCACCGATTGCCCTTGGAGTTTTCCGACCGATAGTCGCATGGGCGTACACATTTATCTGCCTTTTCGCCGAATTTGGAGTGGTACCAGCATAAAGGAAATTTTCTGTAGCTGGACTGAGACCTTGATGAAGAGCGATTTTTACGAGTATCTCGTTTAGAGCGTGATCGTGGTCTGCTTCTTCTGTGCATTAGAGTAAGTGCTTGCACTTCCTTTCTAAGCGCTGCAACTTCTTTCGCAAGGTCGTTGTACACCGGTTCAATATAAGAACGACTTGTTGATGCCACCTGGGGCGATGATGGTACTAGGTCGTGAATCCTATCGGCTACGTCCGCTAGTGTCTCGATGGATGTATGCGGTTGGCCTGCTAAAAATGTTTGGATGCCAGATGGAAGACGGCTGATCCAAATGGTTCTCATAAAATCATCCGAGACCTGTATGCCAGCAAGACCTTGCAGATGACGGAGAAACTGTGATGGTTTTCTGTCACCCATTTCTTCGTGCATTAATAACTGTGTGAGCTTTTTCTCTTTGGATGCACTCAGCCGCTTAATTAGCTCGTTCTTCAGCTTGTCATATTTATTACTAGTTGGTGGGTTAATTATAATGTCTTTTACCTCCACTGAGTACTGGTTATCCAGCTGACCAATAACGTAATTGAATTTAGTTGCGTCACTTGTAATGCCGGATATATTAAATTGACCTTCCACCTGGGCAAACCATATCTCTGGCTCCTCCGGCCAAAATGGTGGTACTCGAACTCCGACCTTACATAGTTCTAATGTAGGCTCATTTTGCGGCGTCTCTGTCGTTGTTGAGCGAGCCTGGGCGCGGTCACCTGCAAACGTTCTAGCATCTTCGAACTTGTTCTCGACGTTGCTCATTATTGTGTTTAAACGGGGTCACCAATGTAGTGGGTGCGCAGTCTGTTGTTATGTGTATAGTAACGGGCATATATATAAATAACGTTCAACACTTATTACACTAACACGTTTATTGCACATAAATACAGTCACACCAATAATTATATAGTCAGAAGGAGAATGCAACATTTACAAGAAGAAACAAGCTTATAGATATAAAGAAAGGCGGAGAGAAGTTTAAGAGAAAATAGATAATAGGTTTTAGTACACACGTAAATATTTTAATAGCACTGTCCGTAAGCTAAAGCGACAATCTCTCTCCGTAGTAGTGCGTAACCGACTGATCGAGGTTCAAGGAGGCGTTGCGCTCACGCCACCCGCTCGTAGCCATTGCCGCACTCGATAGCACCTTATAAGGTAATGCATCGATGACACCACCGGGATCGAACCTATGAGCGTCGGCCAACTGGTAAGTATGGTGGTGTGTTATTAGTGTAAAATGTAGTTTGTTAAATGCGTGTGTGTGTGTGTGAGAATGTATGTTGGTGTAATATATTATGTGTGGGTTGCACGTTCCCCACAAGACTATGCAAAATTATGATTGATAGGTTGATACCTTTTCCAAATGGAATTGACTCTCAAAAAATTATCTTAACTGTATCATATAAAAACGTGATTGGACCATAATAAACTTTGGATACGCGTGTGTTTTATGTGTAGTCATGACACGTAGTTTCATGCATATTCTAGTTTTTTTTTTAAATATTTTTTTGCATTTTCTTAGAATGTCATATTACTCGTAGAATGTTATACAAATTCAAAGGTATGTGTATGAAATATCGGTTTCAACCACTTATTTCAATACACCGCGAGTAAGAGGCTTATATTCAGCATTGAATTCGCCTTTATACTAATTATTTTGAGTGCAATAAAAAATTCTTTTTATCTAATATTTCTCTTATATTTGCTATTAGTATAACTTGGTCTTTTTTTTAAAATAAATGACTTTTATATTATTTATATTACGATTTTTTGTTTAATTACGTTTAGGATATTATTGCGAATATTCCCTCTTTAAGGACATTGAGAACAATACCTACGAGTACAGAGACAACTGAAATGCTTTACTATTTGAAATGTTTTACTATTTGAACATTAGTTACGTTATTATGTGTATTTAAATTTCAAATATTTTATAGATTTTAGAGATGGCGCTAATAATTTTTCTAAGTTTCTTTGTATTCAACCAACTATTCAACGTTCCAAATAGCAGTAAGCCCATTTAAAGACAATTATATAAAACTGATGAGTTGATTTTTGTGTTTTTTTTTTCAAGAATTCGTTGCGAGATAGCATCCGCAAATCGAAAGTAATGAAGTGTTTTAGACGCCCATTACACGCCTAGGCAAGCGTTAATCAGTTAGATCAATCATGATTGACGTTTGCATGATAGAATAATTTCGACATTACACGCTCATGCTGACTGATGTCAGTCAAACCCAAATTTTCGAAGAGAAAGGACCTACCTTTAAACTAAATTCATTTTCGATTCACCATTTAACTGTAATTTAATATCTTGAAAAGAAAAAGAAAAAAACGAATAGGAAAAATTGTAATATTTAATATCATTAAACCCATTTTAATTTAACGCGCGCCAATGTTCGACCTCTTGGAGCGCATAATCGATACGCGGCTTTATTTGAAACGCATTTATGGACGAAAAATAAGCTTACTATATACTATAAGTTATGACTTTTTTATTTATGTTCTTAAGTTATAGTAAAATTAGTATTACTAAGTTGTTGTTAATTACATTTATTGTTTATTTTTGTCTTTCTCAAAAAATAATTAAATATTGTATGGTGTTCTTAACATATACCAAATGTCTGAAAAGCAAGTACGTATCATTTGCTAAGCTTTTAAATCAAAAACCAATTTTAAAATATAGACGAATTGATCATAACTTCCTTAAATAAAAAATAAGTTATGTACTAATTAATGGTATTTATTCCAGTTTATGACAGCCCTAATTTATATTACGTGGCTGAAATTAGGTACTTCTTATTATGTATGTCAAACCAAATAACAGCCGGGCGGCTGAGATTAAGCACTCCATACATTTCGTATATCTAATTACAACCCAATTAATTTCCACTAAAATAAAATAAAAAACTTATATATTAAAGGATGATTCACGCTACAACGTGTCGCCACCGGGCCGTACCTGGCCGGGACACGTCCACCGTGCGCTGGCCGGGCCAGTCATTCATGTTACACCGGGCTGTTTGCACGACCGTGGCTTATGCACGACTCTGTGTTATGTGGTTTTTGTCAGCTAGTGATTTCATCTGTCGATAGACTTCACGCTTACATAAATATGCAATTTTCACAATTTGAATTGGCAGCTATTGCAATTGCCATCGATGATGAAGTATTGGAAAAACGAAGCGAAACTACTAAAAGAAGATGGGGATCCAACCTGGAGAAAGCGAGAAGCAGAAGGAGAATTTGCATTACTTTACAAAGAATTAATAGATGATGAGAGCAAGTTTTATGGTTATTTTATAATGTCTAAAGAATGCTTTACTTTTTTACTTGAAAAAGTAAAACCAGACCTAACCAAAAAAATTACAAGATTTCAAAAGCCTATATCTCCCATCGAACGATTAGCAGTCTGCATCAGGTAAATAATAAATCGATATGCACTAAATCACATAGTATTTAAAAATGTAGTATTACAAATTGACCCGTCTCACAACCATCTATCAGAGCTGGTTGTAAGATGGGTCGATTTTTTCTAAATACTTCATTTTCAATTTTTCAATAATCAAAATTGCATTGTGAATGAAAAAAAGTAAAAATTTAAATAATTCGCATATTATTTATTCATTTCATTAGTCTGCCGTGAACTCTGAAAATGAAATAGACAAATTATTAGATTCCAAAGGCGTAAGTTCCGAAGGCGAAGGCTCCGAAGGCGTAGGTTCCGTAGGCGTTGATTCCGGTGTTGGCGTTGGTGTAGTCATCGGAACCGGTGCATACACCGACCTTGAATTAGTAGACGACGCTGACGTTGTTCCATTCATTGGAGATGTGTAAGAAGAAGGCTCTGATGACAATTGCTCCCACTCCAAATCTTGTACTACTGCAAATATTCTTCCTTTTGCAAGATGCTGATAGTAAGGGGAAAAAGATTTTATGGTGGCTGCCAAACCGTTGAAGAAAGCATCAATAGGATGAATGTCTTGTGTGTTGGACTTTTCTTTATTTTTTAGAATGTATTCCATTAATGCGCTTGACGCAGAGGACTGGGATTGTGGTACTATACGACGGCGATTGTGTGCAGTTGCAACGGTTGCATTGCGATTGCGGTTGCCGGAACGAGTGAATTGTGCAGTTGACGGGGGATATGGATTCGGATCAGCAGGTGGCGTAAAATTTGGTTCACTAATAGCTGGTGAGCGATCTTCCTGCTGCTGCTGTTCATCGGTGTTAATTGTTTCGTTGGGCGTAGTAACTGGCGAAGTAACCGTTTCGTTTTGCGTCTCTTCGTTCTCAGACTCGATACTTGTTATTGAATTTCGATCCTGTATATGAGGCAGTAAAAAATTCAAGCTCTCTTCATATTTATATTCTTTTATTGCCACAGCACCCTGTCCACTCTTGGTTTTACGTTTGTTTCTATGTTTTTTGAACTGGTCCCGTATGTTTGCCCACCTTTTTTTACATACATCATCTGCAAAAAGTTAGTATAGAATGAACAAGTTAAGCAATTTTCTTTACAACCTGTGTAAATGGTACTGTTAATACGTAATAGCTCACTGTAGTACACAGATACCGCGAAATTATACTATTATTATTTTTTCAGGTTCCTGGCTACTGGGGATTCGTTTAAAACTATTTCGTACAGTTTTCGATTGGGGCATCCAACTGTGACCAAAATTGTACATAGCACATGTCGATCTATCGGTAAAAGATTTAAGAAAGACGTTATACCAAAACCAACAGAAGAAATGTGGCGTAAAATTGCCGAAGATTTTGAAAAGCTTAGAGGTTTTCCAAATTGTAAAGGCGCATTGGATGGAAAACATTTTGTTATTGAAGCCCCAGCCAATAGTGGTTCTATATATTTTAATTATAAACACACATTCTCAATTGTTTTATTGGCGTTAGTGGACGCATGCTACAAATTTATTGCAGTTGATGTTGGCGCTTACGGACGAAACAGTGATGGTGGCATTTTTGCACAATGTAATCTTGGAAAACGTTTAGAAAATGGGACGCTTCCTGTACCTATTGGTAAAAATTTACCCGGTTCCTCTACGTTTGCACCATATGTAATAGTTGGTGATGAAGCGTTTCCTTTGAAAACATACCTAATGCGACCGTATCCAGGACACCAAGCAACAGGTGACGCTAATAAAACGAATTTCAATCATAGACTGCTTTGGCCCGGCGACTAGTCGAAAATGCCTTTGGTATTTTGACACAAAGATTTAGAATATTTCAAAGAAGAATGAAACTTGCTCCAGAAAATGTTGATTACATTATTCTATCTACATGCGTACTGCATAATTTTTTATGCGAACAAAAAGATTACACAGGGCTTATCAATCATAGTGCACAAAATGCGCAACCACATTTATTAAATCCATTGAGCGTTCAACCAGGAAGACCGGCTAATGATGCATTTGCGGTAAGAGAAACGTTTAAAGAATATTTAGCGTCAACAGCGGGACGTAATTTTATAGGACAACAGTATCAAGAATAAATACATACTTACACTATAATATACTTCTTATAATTTACCTAACATATTCTAAAATACCTACTAAAGCCGATAATCCCACTCACATGTACTTACATGTTGTCGTAAAGTAATTAGTGACACTTGAATAACTATTATAAATGTAAATTGAAATAAAAGTTACAACTTACCAGATTGTTTTATTTCGTCCGAAATGGTTTTCCAAATAATATTTTTGTATTTGTTATCTAAATACTTAGGATGGCTCATATCGTAAATCACAGGGTACTTGCGCACACATTCTAATAATTTTTCATCGTCCATTTTGCTGTTGAGCTGCTCACTTCACTAAGATTTGACTTGACTGCTCTCCGGGCGCCCGGGCGCATATGTTCATGTTACAACGTGTCGGGGCCGGACCGTGCCCGAGCCGGGAAACAATACCCACCAACATTTCAACGCCGTGCCCCGGCCGAGTCCCGGCGGCGTACGGCCGGGGCACGGCCGGGCCACGGTCAGGCATGAATCGCTTCATACAAAAAGTACACCATAATGTTTGACCGTGCCCCGGCCGGGGCACGGCCCGGCCGCGTTGTAGCGTGAATCATCCTTTTAAGCAAAAGTAGCTGCATTACTATGTCTATAGTCACATTCATACAAATCATAAAGCCTAAAGATGAGCTAATGTAAAATATGCTAAATTGTATCGGGATTCGGGACCATAACTTTTTGAAAAATTGGGAAAATGAGCGTATTTTGTTGCGTACGTGTTTTGATTTTTAATTTAACACTGTTAGGTTTAAAACTGTGAGGTAATATTTAAAATATACTTTCCTCTAGTTACGAAGAATTTTTAGCCGACAATATTTGTAGTTAAAACTACTAGAAATCGTATTTACGAAGTAAAAAGGCGGAAAGGCTAAAATTAGGAGCGTGGCTGGTATTCGTGGTCCCACAACTCCTGGGAGCCTCAAAATTTAAAATAAAATCTTTTTTCTCGCTGAAGCACATTATCGAGAGTGGCGTCGGGCTGAGCGAGCGCGTGGAAGCCGCCTTTTCAATATATTCTCCGTCCGCCTCGATTGCTGTCTAAGCGTTGACTGACGTGTGATTGACGAAATGCGATTACACGTTTAATCGAAATTCGTGACTGATAGTTGATTGACATAAAAATCAAAATATCCAGATATTTGTCAATCAATTTCATGCAACCGTCAATCACCGCATTACACGGTAGGTTATTTGTCAATCACAAACGTGATTGTTGTAAAACTGACAGCAAAACCTACCCTGTAATGGGCGTCTTACCTGAGAAGGAAAGGAGGAGGAGTTGCACTCTCGCAAGGATGGATCGCTGTGGGGCGGCCGGCGCTGTTGTGACACATCCGCGATGTGAGTAAAATTGTTATGCGGGTTTGCTTAGGCATTTCTCCATAGAAAATAATTAAATTTGATATATGGTGGTATAACTATTACGTTTAATATATCAGATGTAAAATAAAAGCTGAGCGATTATGTCAAATCATGCGAAATCGGGAGAGGCCCATATACTGCATTGGAAGGTATGATATTCGCCTAGTCGATTTCAATCACGACGGCAATTCCCGAACACTGCCGTTAGTTGTCAGTTGTATAGGATACACACGTTATACATATTTATATAAAATGGTCGCTCTCTATTTTAATAGTCTTGTCCAAGGTTGCAGTCAAGTTTAACTCATGTCAACAAAAAATTGGCGCAATTAAGCCTAGCCTTTAATTTAGTTTAAAATAAATTCGCCAGCTGAGTTATTTTTTAATAGTTGAGTAAAAACGAATTTTAATTTTGAAAGCAAAAAAAAAAACAATGGAATAAAAACTTCTCATACCCACTCAAAAAAACCAGTCGCAAAATCTACATTAAGTTCATAGAATTGACTTTATAATCACTTTATTTCTGAAACAGCCAGGCCGACCGGTCTCGCAATTCTCGCCCATCCCCACTTTTTTCAAGTCAGCCTAAATAGCGGCAAATTATTTAACTTAACAACACTGGACTTGTCGGTTCTAACTGGGTATAAAAATGGCTTCCTCGGGTGCGCATAATAGTAACGCATAAGAGACATGGTATTGATCACAGCATTTCTCAAAGAAAAAAACTTTTCAAACAAAAATCCAACAATTTTGAACGTCTTTCGAACGCAGTTAATAGGATTACAAGACAGTCACGCTTATAATTTATATAATAAAATATGGCGTCTCAAAGGCGTGACCTGCAGTTCTGTAGCCAGGTATTCTGACTACGAAGAAAGATAGCAGTCAAGAACAAGCTAGTGTTGGTTGTATCGAGATGTACACACATTTAGCTAGAACACTTCACAAAAGTAGCATTACATTTTCATATAATATTATACGTTTATTGTATTTTATTTCAAAAACATACTATGACAAATACAAACTACATAAAATGTGTAGAATGTTGGCATGGCAATTTATACGAGAGTCATATCACTATTGTCATGTCCCAGCCCTCATAGTTTCGCTACCCAACCCTATCCTTCACATTGTACTTCTAGCACTTTTTAATCTAGAGGCGACGTGTTGAAAGAAAAGTATCTACACTCTCTTGGAAATATCTTTTGCTCGTAGTTTTTTTCGCTTCATTCCATTTGTATTTATTATTATAAACTAAATCTTTGTTGTAACTGCGGCTTAGGCATTTAATTGTATACTAGGTTTTAAATTTTATATTAGTAATTGTATCGAACGTTTGTAAAAATGACGTCAAAATATAGCTTTTTTGTTATTTTATCAATTTTGCTTCTAACTATTATAATTTCGTTATAATAATTTCGTAATATCGTAATATTATAATATTTCTTTGAACCTTTTGAGTGAATTGGAGTATCGCAAACTCAAAGAAACGGCTGTAATGTCGTCTTAATAGTTACATTAAAAACTTTATCCCCTATTTATCCCATCCCTATTACCACTTAGGGGTAGAAGGTTTATTCAATTTTATTTACAATAAAAACGAAATCAGTAAAATCGATACACAATTGATAAAGATATCTAGGAAAGTACATACAAAAAAGAAACATAATATTGGCTCTGTTTACTAAAGGAAGTGCGTTTAGTAAATTTAACATTTAATCTTTATTCTTTTAATATGTAAACTTATTGAAAATTTTCAAGTAGTAACAATCAAACTGAAGAAAAACATGATAGTGTTTCACTTGGATTTTTTTTACAACAGAACGCATGACTCATAATGATGTTTGTACCTACATAGATGTTTTTTATTGAGCTGTAAGCGGCAACCCCAATACAGAAGGTAGTATTCTTTTCTAGCCTAGGAGTCGGTTTGGGTAGGTATTATTCTCTTACCTAGATATTTTTTCCGCCAAATAACAGTTGCTGCATTCCAGTATAAAGAAGTTAAAGAGCTAGCATGATTACAAGCTGTGAGATATTCCATCTTATTCCTCAGAGGAGATAACGCATTTGTTTGAAGTTGGTTGCATTGACTGCAAGAGCCACTTGTCATTAGATGGACTATATTAGTTAGGTGGATGTTCAGTCCTTTTCAGTAGGTGGTACTATTAGTTTTACTCAGAATTCACTCTGGACTTTTAACAGTGTTAATATAACATTTATTTATAACTCGACCAGAGCAATACACGCGGTATTCATAGAGTAGAGCCATACTGGAGCTTTATTATAGTTGTAGCACGGATGGGTCGGCTTGACCGGGGTAGCACCACGCTCTCACATAATACTAGCTTAAAATTACAGCGTAACGTTGCTGTGTTTCGTATGGTGAGTGTAGAAAACCGGACACGTTTTTACTGGAAACGAGGCATTCCATCGTTTTGATTCTTAAATATGAGGATAAAGATTGTTTATGGACCACAGTATCCATTTAACATCAGGTGGACTGTGTGCTCATTTGCCAAACATATAAACATAAAAACAAATTGTTGGCATCGAGTCCAAACCCCAGATTTTGTGATTTTCTTTTTTAACGCTAAGGGGCCATCCATAAATTACTTCACACGTTAATAGGGGGGAGGGTGTCGAAGGCCAACATGTTAAAATATTAAATGTTAAAATCTAAAATACTAAAACGCAAAATGTATATGTAAGCCATAAACTTAAAAATATTACTAACACGAGTGGTCGACACATATTATGGTTTATATTTTTCAACATACAAAGCCGTTAATCAACACAAACAACCACATAAAAAGCAACAAAAGATTTTACCTATTGCGAAAATTCGTCTTCAAGGAATTGTGGCTAGACTTGCCAGAGAAATTCTTTGTTTAAGAATGATGACGATGCTATATGGTTGGAAGAAAAAGATGTTGACATAACTGGTATTCCTGACATTAATATCCAAAACGAAAACGAAGTGCCTAATATGCCAGTGATAAACAATATTAAAGAGTGAGTCCAAAATTCGTGGACACAAGATGATTAAGTTTTGTATCTTTTATAAGCATTATTAATCGTTGATCGTTCTTTAATTGGTCTTTTGTGTTGTCAATTGTCTAAAATATTTGAATTTATTTCGATTTATTAAAGATTATTTTTAATTTAAATGAAAAAAATTGGAAAGACTGCTAAAGATATTACTTGAAAGATTCATATAAATAATAAACGTAGAAAAATAATCCTAACGTAAACATCCTAAATAATATTTTGTTTGTTTAACATTTATCGAAATAGTGACTT